GGATTCGTCGAATCTGAACCAAGATAAATGCAACGAGCAGAGGAAGTAGGCAGGAAAGGCAGGATGGGGTTGCACATCAGCAGAGTTCTTATCTGCGGTTGAGCTTGTGAAGACACATCTTGATGTGTGATTTTCTACAAGTCATTTCTCGCCCACAGCAATCACAAAGTCATGCTTCAACGTTGTCAATCTTTTTTATCATCCGCAACGAAAAGTCAAACGATTAGGTTTTTGCCTGTGTGTGTTTATGCATCTGCACTGTTAGTAAAGTATATCTTGAACCACTGGACAACTTTGCAACAAAACTGACTACAACACAGTCTCCCAAATAGAGAGCTAAAATTTGTTGTGGTAGTAGCTGAGAGTCATTCACAGTACAGGTGCTGGTCATAAAATTAGAATACCATGAAAAAGTTGATCTATTTCAGTAATTCCATTCAAACAGTGAAACTTGTATATTATAGTCATTTATTACACACAGATATATTTCAAATGTTTATTCCTTATAATGTTGATGATTATAACTGACAACTAATGAAAACCCCAAATTCAGTATCTCAGAAAATTAGAATATTACTTAAGCCCAATTAAAAAAAGGATTTTTAGAAATGTTGGTCAACTGAAAAGTATGAACATGAAAAGCATGAACATGTGCAGCACTCAATACTTAGTTGGGGCTCCTTTTGTCTGGATTACTGCAGCAATGCAGCGTGGCATGGAGTGGATCAGTCTGTGGCACTGCTCAGGTGTTATGAGAGCCGAGGTTGCTCTGATAGTGGCCTTCAGCTCTTCTGAATTGTTGGGTCTGGTGTATCACATCTTCCTCTTCACAATACCCCATAGATTTTCTATGAGGTTAAGATCAGACGAGTTTGCTGTGTAGTGAACTAAGTCAGTTAATAACAGGGATACCATGGTTCTTAAACCAGGTACTGGTAGCTTTGGCACTGTGTGCAGGTGCCAAGTCCTGTTGGAAAACGAAATCTGCATCTCCATAAAGTTGGTCAGCAGCAGGAAGCATGAAATGTCTAAAACTTCCTGGTAGACGGCTTTGTGGACCTTGGTCCTCAGAAAACACAGTGGACCAACACCAGCAGATGACATGGCACCCCAAACCATCACTGACTGTGGAAACTTGACACTGGACCTCAAGCAACGTGGATTCTGTGTCTCCTCTCTTCCTTCATATTCTGGGACCTTTATTTCCAAAGGAAATGCAAAATTAACTTTCATCAGAGAACATAACTTTGGACCACTCGGCAGCAGTCCCAGGCGAGATGCTTCTGACGCTGTCTCTTGTTCAATAGTGGCTTGACACAAGGAATGTGACAGCTGAAACCCATGTCTTGCATACGTCTGTGCATGGTGGTTCTTGAAGCACTGACTCCAGCTGCAGTCCTCTCTTTGTGAATCTCCCACACATTTTGGAATGAGTTTTGGTTCACAATCCTCTCCAGGGTGTGGTTATTAGGGCATTAACAGAGTACTCGAGTAATCTACACATCGATTGCTAGGACCTCTATCGAGGTTAAAAATTTAACATCGAGTATCCGTAGTGACGTCATATTATGTGACCACCGTATGACCATAGGGGGCGGTGTTGCACTGTTGCAGGTCACAGAGTATGGAGTAACACCAGGTCCAATCCACTGCCCATCCACTGTTTTTAAGTTTCGTTTCTGACGTGCTGCATGTTTCTTCACGTTTGCAGTTTAATAATAATAACTAATTGTTCAGTTTTTCCTGTGACTTATTTGCAGTATGATAAATGGTAGGAGCATAATATACCTGTACGCTCCCAATGTTTTGTTGTTTTTTTTTTTTTTTTGGTAAATAATTACCTTTTATTGCGGTTTTATTTATTTATTTATTTCTGTATCTTGAGATCTATAACGTCATCAAATACTCGAGTTCTACTCGGGTTTTATTATGTTAATGTCGAGTTTAAAAAATATATACTCATTCAACCCCTAGTGGTTATCCCTATTGCTTGTACACTTTTTTCTACCACATCCTTCCCTTCGCCTCTCTGTTGATGTTCTTGGACACAGAGCTCTGTGGACAGCCAGCCTCTTTAGCAATGACCTTTTGTGTCTTGCCCTCCAATGCTGTCAAAGGTGTCAAAGGTGTCAATGGTCGTCTTTTGGACAACTGTCAAGTCAGGAGTCTTCCCCATGATTGTGTAGCCTACAGAACTACACTGAGAGAACATTTAAAGGCCTTTGCAGGTGTTTTGAGTTAATTAGCTGATTAGAGTGTGGCACCAGGTGTCTTCAATATTGAACCTTTTCACAATATTCTAATTTTCTGAGATACTGAATTTGGGGTTTTCATTAGTTGTTAGTTATAATAATCAACATTAAAAGAAATATACATTTGAAATATATCAGTCTGTGTGTAATGAATGAATATAATATTCAAGTTTCACTTTTTGAATGGAATTACTGAAATAAATCAACTTTTTCATGATATTCTAATTTTATGGTCCATCCTCCAAGTGCTCTTCATTTGACAAGATCTTTGCTTAAAGTTTTAGCCTTAACAGGTGGAGTAAACGGTCTGTTAGCAAAATACCTCATGAGACACTGGACAAATTTTGATGAAACTCTCAGAATCAATTCATTGGGTGAACATCTACAAATGATTAACTTCTGAAATTGATTCCTATCGCGATGGCTGCCACAGCTACCTGACCTTAGAAAACACAAAAATGAGTACAAATCAGTCAGTCTGATAGGTATTGAGCTGAAATTTGGTGTGGTAGTAGCTGAGAGTCATTCACAGCATATGCTTCAAGTCCTCTTCCTGGGACAAGATCTTTGCTTAAGTTTTAGCATTAACAGATGGAAAAAACTGTCTGTTAGTAAAATATCTCATGAATGACTGAAGAGATTTTAATAAACCTTTCAGAAAGTAACCACTCAATCTACAACTGATGAGCTTTTGGAATGAATCTGATTCAAGATGGTCACCACAGCTGATGGAAAAGAGTCAATTTTATATGCATCCTGTCAGAGTATGATGGATCTTTAATGGTATAAGCTTGCAGGATCCAGTAATCGCAGTTATGTCTGGACATTGTTGACTTTAAAGCTAGCTGGGTCCACTCCCTCTGCCCCCGGTGTGAACCTTTCACAACTGCTGACCACTTAGCAGGAGATGAGTGGACAGTCGCTGCTCGTCGTTGCGAAATCAGTTCTGCTGAAGCAGAGCTTGAAGGGATGTGGAAAAAAAAAAGCTGTCAACAACAGTGACTGTGACTTCTTTTATCTAACACGCAGAACATCTACACCGACAGTGACAGCAGAGAATATTATCTGCTCTGTTAGCACCGAAAAGCAGAAGGTCCTGGTTCCTTTTTTCAGTAGAGGTCGAACAACAGAAAGGTTCTTTTGTTGCAAGATTTATTAAAGGTGTATTTTCTATGAACAAAATCAGGCAAATCAAGGAGAAGTTTTTAATTCATTTCAGTTCAGTTTATTTCTATAGCGCCAAGTCACAACAGAAGTCGTCTCAGGGCACTGGACAGAAACATTCATATATAAATGTAACAAGTTAACATTATTTATCTGAGGAGCAGACTGCTCTGAATTTAACTCCATCGCAGAACTCTCATCTTGAGCATGAAGGCGACAGTGGAAAGGAAAAACTCCTCTGAGGAAGAAACCTTTAGCAGAACCAGGCTCAGGACAAGCGTTCATCTGCTTCAACTGGCTGGGTTTGGTAGGAACAGATACACAATGGCAGGTCAAGAATCACATGTTAATATAGAAATAATATCAAATGAAAACTATTCAATTTAATTCATTTAAGGAAATGAGGTTGATTTGTCCTTTATTAGTCTAAGCCTGTAGCAGCATAACAATCCAACCCTAACTATAGGATTTATCAAAAAGGAAAGTCTTAATCCCAGTCTGAAAACTGGACAATGTGTCAGCCTCATGGACAGAAACTGGAAGTTTGTTCCACAAGAGAGGAGCCTGATAACTGAAAGATCTTCCTGCCATTCTGCTTTTGGAAACTCTAGGAACCACAAGTAAGCCTGCAGTCTGAGAGTGAAGTGCTGTTAGGAAAATATGCAACAATAAGATTTCGACTATAAGATGGAGCTAGGCTGTTGAGGGCTTTGTAGGTTAGAAGTAAGCTTTTGAATTCAATTCTGGACTTGACAGGGAGCCAATGGCATGGCATTAAGACGTGGCACCATATGTCAGATATAATAAATATAAAGAAATGTCTTTTTTTTTTGTTTCAGTTTCAATGGAAATTCAGTAAAACTTCAGTGCTTTGAAAAAGTATTTGTATTCCTTAAACTTGTCACATTTTGTTATGTTACAACTGCAAACTTGGAAGGATTTAAATGTAGCAGGACATAAAATCACAGCTCATAATTCTGAAGTAGAAGGAAAATGATTCATCTTTTTTTTCTTCAATTCATCCCTTTTTATTTTGATAGCTCAAACTAAACTCTGGAGCAGCCCAACACTTTCAGTAGTCATCCTATTAATAAACAGAGTCCACCCGAGTGTGATTTAGACTCAGCATGAATCCAGATATTTGTTACAGAACATCAGCCAGCATCATGAAGACCAAGGAAAACAACAGACAGGTCAGGGATGAAGTTGTTCAGAAGAAAATTTAGATTATAAAACAACCTTTAAGGTTTGAACCGTCTCACAGAGCTGTTAAACCATATATTTTTTTTCCTTCTTTCGGCTGCTCCCTTCTTCAGGGTTTGCCACAGCGAATTTACTCGCACTAAGACTTGGTGATTGTCAGATGTCCTTCCTGACTCAACCACCGAGCTACCACAGCGCTCTGTGGAGCAGAGAGCTGCTATCCATGGCGCCTGGGGGAGCAGCTGGGGGGTTAAGGGCCCTGAGCAAGGCCCAGAGTGGAGCAAATAAGGGTGGAGGAAGGTGTGGGTATTTCACCTTTCCTACCAACATATTGATGTTGTCAGTTTGAGGAGTCGAACCGGCAGCCAAACTTCCAATCACAGACCCACCTTCTCGAACCTCTGCGCCACCACTCCCCAACCACACATGATGAATGTTAAATCCATCATTTAAAAATGGAAAATATGTGACACAAAAACAAATCATCCAATATGACAAAAACAAATAAACAAACTATAGTGTTATATCTTTTTCATTTACACAATTCCCACGAAAACAGCATTTTGTATTATTATGAAAACAATAATGTTTCTTTTTTTTAACTGTCTCAGATTTCTGAAGGAAACCAACAGATACTTCTCATGAACTTCTCTGCATTTTGCTCCATCCATCTTTAACTTGGACCTGCTGTTGAAAAGCATCCTCTCAGGATGATGCTGCCACCACCATGCTTCACTTTGGGGATGGTGTCCAAAATGAGTTTGGTTGATTTGCCTAAAACATGTTTTTTTTTTCCTTGATGCCAGACGTTCTGTTTTAGTATCATCTGACCACAGAACTGTCTTCCACATTTTTGGGGAGTCTCCACTTTGTATTTTGACAAATTCCAAATGTCTTGCCTTATTTACTTTTTTAACAATGTCTTTTTCCTGTCCCTCTTCCATGAAGCTCAGCTTCCAGTGGTACCATGGACAGATCTTCCCATCTCTAAAGAGCTGCAGCTCCTCCAGAGTCAGTTGCTTCGTTGATTGACGGTTTCCTTGTAGGTTTTGGTGGACGGCTCTCTTTAATCAGATTTACATCGTCTTTCCATCGCCTAAGATCTGGAGATGGTCAAGGTTTAGGATTTTTCATATAACCAGCCTGTGTGGTGAGTTCCTTGGTCTTCATACTGTCTCCTGCTTGGTGAAAGTTCCCGCTCTTTAGCGGTATTGAACTGTTGTTGTTTATCACAACAGATGTTTAGATTTTGAGATCATTTGACATGTTTTTGTTAAGCACTTTGGCAACTTTGGTTTTGTTTTAGATGTGCTAAATCAATAAATCTGACTTGATTTGACTAAATATGTTGGTTTCAGAGTCATAACCTTTCAGTTTCAGGTTTCTTTCCATTTAACTTCAATAATCTGAATTTTTTGTGTGTAAATGTATAACCAAACATCCATTTAAATCCCTGGATCATCCTGGATTTGTGTGTTTTTTACTTCTGGATAACAATCTGTCTCAAATACTGAATCAGTTGTGGACAAACTGTGACTTTTCTGAGGGTTTCAAATCCACTTCAGATGTTTCACCACTGACCTGTCCAGCTCTGATCGTAATCAGAGCAGTTTCATAAGACGCCATGACGATGCACTGAATGTCACAGCCCCAAAGAGGCCTCTGCATCACCCTGGATGACACGTACAGAAGTCAAGCGTCTTCATAGCTTTTAAAGCAAAGCGATTGTGTTACTTTACCATTAACTGTTGGAAGTCAACCTGTTAGCAACGTATCTCCAGAACCTCTCAATGGATTTTAATGAAGCGCTCAATAATTAATCATACATCACACATCAAATGATTGTCATTTCACGTCAATCCAATTTAGTTCACTTCAGTTATATATCCATTTTCAGTAAATAATAAGTTATTACCTGAACTATTAAACTCTTTTTAATCCATCCATTCATGAGATATTTTGCTAACAGACAGACCAAGCTGACTGCAAATAATTAATGACAACATTTTAAGATCTTGTTTAACTTAACTTTCAAATGCTTCATTTTGTTGGGTGGTTTGGTAAACCTGCAGCTCTAATGTACATCTTGTTTCTGTATTAGGACCAAAAATAAATATTTTGCTACAGCTTTTTTTTCTTTTGATAAAGTATAAACAACATAAACAAATGAATTAAAACCCGAGCTGAGAAACTGCTTTAGAGTTAAAAGGTGTAGTAAAGGCTTTTGCCTGATTCTCAGCTGTGTACTTTCTGCCCTCTGTTGGTGAGTTTGTGTGTGTACTTCTTCTCCGGGGCAGCAGGTGGCGCTAAGTTTCAAAAAGACTTCCCTAAGAAAGTGACGTCAGTACAGGAAAATGTGATCACTGCGGAGAAAATGAAATAAAACATGTCAGAAATATGAGCGAGAGCTGAAAAAGTCCCCTCAAAACTATCCGATTTTCATAAATAGATGCTTCTCTCTTGGTCATTGATTTATAAACATAATTTCTCCCCACACAGATATTATATTTGGAACAATAGAAACATCTTGCATAAAAACAAATCCTTATTTTACTCTAATTGGTTTATTCACAACATAGTTTTAGTTCAACAGTTGCTCAACACTGATGGATCGTTAATGTCATATCAAAAATTTGTCATAAAATATAACATTATGATCCTTATTAACGAATTTACTATTGTAATAAAAGCAATCTCTACTGGAGTAATTATTTTACATAGAAGTACAGCAGGACAGAATCCAACACTGTTATTACCCTTTGATCCAACCAAACTTGAAATTGGTCAAATCTGCTTCTCCTCAACCCGTAACAGCAACCGTCGTATCTGTTCACTATTTCAGAAAGATGTTGTGTCAACTCCATATGTGGTACCTTATTGGAAAAACTTTATTAATAACCTTAACTGGAAAAGGATTTGGACTTTACCAACCAGATACATGATAAATAATAAAGTAAGAGAAGTATCATTCAAAATTATTCATAGATTTTACCCATCCAAAGTTTATTTACAACGGTTTAACAAGGATATAAATATAATTTGCTCTTTTTTGTGATGAAAACCAGAAGATGTCTT